TTTTTTTTTTTTTTTTTGTTTTTGTGCAAAAAAATCTTAAATAGTACCGATTTGGTGTTATTAGTTGTCCTGAAAAAATTTCTTGCTATTGTTTTTTCTTTTTTTCTTTTTGATCATTATTAATTTATTAAATTATTTTTTGTGAAATAATAAACCAAAAATAACGCCGTAATAAATTTGTTTTTGAAACTACCTATTTGGATGAGTGTAATAGACACCGTAAAATGTTGCTGTTTTTTTTTGTTGCAGAAACAATAGAAACCGAATAAAAAAAAAAAAACAACAAAGAAGACGAAAGGAATAGAAAAAAATGTGGATATACAAAAAAAAATAGATCTGCTTATGCTGAGAAAAAAAAAATTTCTTTCCTTTTTTGATCGTTATTTTTTGGCGATATACGCGATGCAAAAAAAGCCGATAAATTGCAATTGAAAATAATCAGTAGTACAGGAAAAGTTCCTTATTTCCTTCTCTTTTTACCCGTCTCTAAATCTACTCTTTTTTTTTTTTTTGAATTATTATTTTGAAATTTTATAGATATTTCACACACACTTTTTTTTTTCACAAAAATTACTGAATCATTTTATATCAAACCAAAAAGATCAAACTGGATCTCTTTTCAAAAAAGAACTAACAGTTTACAAGATGTAAAAAAAAGAAAAAAGAAAGCATTGCACGACAAAAGAGTTGAATTCAAATAAGTATAAAATGAAAAAAAATTTAGTTTCTCAAAAGAACATAAAAAATTTTGACTTATTGAACACTAAAACATCGCTTTAAATTCTAACAGACAACTAAACCAAAACAAATGCAGTAACTGCTTCACAATAACTTTTTACATCAGTGTCGGAAATGTGATTCTATCTAAAATTAACGTTTTGACAAATTTAAATTAAAAAACATTTTTTTTTTTCAATAATTTGTAGTAAACAGGTAAAAAAATACAAGTGTTAATTTTAGTCTGAAATATCGATGATCGGTTACAACACGTTACTTAGAAGAAGAGTTTCAAAAATGTTTTAAAGTTCTATACAAAAGTTATTATCTTTTGTGTTAAGACTTCCAATAGAGCAATGACCAGGTTCTATGTTTGTTGAAAATTCAAACTCGCACCAAAATTTTAACATTTTTCGCCATTTTCATAACAGTGTACATATGTTTTAACAAAAACTTTTGTTGAAATGCTTGGCAAATACAATAAGCTGAAAAGAAAAATGATAAAGTTGACCGTAAGCTTAAAGAATAAAGAAGTTAGCAGTTAGAGGATGTCTTTCCAACTTTAGGAATGCGCTGTTCTTCGCCTATTCCTCGTTTTACTTAACTGTAAAATTTCCAAAGAAATAATACGGTCGCAAATAGTGTAGACGCATAAAGCGTTTTATCTATTCTGATGATAAGTACTTTAACAACAGTGAAGTTAAAGAAAATATATATAGGAAATGAAAATTGATCAGGTGTAGAAGATGAAAATAAAATGATTAATTAATAACCATTTGACTGTTGGTAAAAGCAAATTTATTATTTGATTCAAAAAGGAATTTATTAATTCTTTTTCGGTAAAATCTAAGCACTTTACAACCTGCACTTTTTTTTTAATGCATTTGCCTGAAATTGGGTGATCTATTGCTTCCCCTTTGTTTTTAGTGCAGGAAATAGAGATTATTGGTTTTGTACTTTGTTCTGAATCCGTATTTAAGACCAACGGTAGATGCACTGTTCAGTACCTCAGTTATATGCAACCTCTGGACAATCTGTTCATTGGTATGCAAGGTAAGCATTTGAAAAACTCCTCTCAAATTGATAATCATTTTTATTTAACTTGCTAAAAAATCTCTTGTAAACTTTTTTCTTTTTTCTTATCTCTTCTTTTTTGTTACTTATCTTATGAGCTTGCTTCTCCATTTTTTAGGCACTGAATTCTAACACAATGTTGTTTTTTTTTTCTACAAAATAAAAAGCAGTGTTCACTTTTACTTGTTTTACCTCTTACACAGAAAATAAACGACGCCACTAATATTAATCGTCAGAATTGCGTCGAGTAGTGGAGATGAATTACATCACAAAATTGTAAAAAATGTTTTTTTTTTTTT